AGTGGGAGGCAGAAGTCCCAATGAAAAGTTAGAATCATCTTGAAAATCATAGTTGAAATCGTGAATGAATAAGGAATGGCGCTCCACATATGACATATTTTTGTAGATAAAGGGTACCCGCCTATGCTGAAATACCTCTGAAAAGACTCTGCAGAGCACGACATGGCCAAAAGACCGAGACCAAACGACCTTTGACCCTGACTGACAGTGTGACAAAAGCACTGTCCATGACTGACTCTGGGGTGTACCTGACCAAACCTGACATGACAACCAGACAGTGTGAGTGTGAATGAATGCCGGCATGTGATCAGTGTAACTGCATGATTCTAAAACAATAACTAACCAAGCATGTTTTTGGACTAACATATTATTTTGGAGCTCCAAGGGAAACGAGAGGTTTCCTAAAAATTCCACAAAAAGGGGAAACCGCACATGTGACCCGGTTCTAATCTACTTGATGATATTTTACTCCCACATGAGTTGGCGGTTTGCAAATGTAAAACTAAAATCTGAAGATTCTGTTTCTTTTAGGCCTGAAGGACGGAGAGGAACACTTATTTTCACTGAAGTGTTTACTGTGGAAATAATGATAATTGATGTAAAATTGTAAATAATGTTCGTTATGTCCCTAACCAATTACCTGATTGTTCCCCTCCCCATTACAGGGTTTTGTTACACATGAGTTCATGTGTAAAAGGGGGGAGTATGTATAATGTCAACATGGCTGTAAAATTCACAATTTAAATTTTTCTTTTAAGGATTGACAGAAACCTTCCGCCCCAACCCAGATGTTCAAACTGAGCATTGAATGATAGTTTTATAATTAACCTGCTCCATATCTGGGGATAAGATACTGTTTGATGAATGTTGAGATGTTTCTAAATATTGATTGAATTATAACAGGTAACACAGAAGCAGTGGCCAAGGGGCTACTGTGAGAGATGTAATTCCAGAATAGAATACCGAAGAAGTTGACCTGTGATAGTTAGGCAATTTTGTAATATTTTAACAGACATTAGAGTAACTGAGGTTTGAAATGTAGAAAGAACATATTACAGTTAAGTTAAGCTAAAACATAGTAATGTAATGATACCGAATTTAATTTAGACAACATATTGTAACTAGCCTGGTAAAGAATTAGAAGTAAAAGCCATAGACTTTATTGTTTAGTTCATTATGGGGATATACATTTAATTTAAATTCATAATAGAAAGACATTTGATGACCGTATGTTGGAATTCTGTATTCATTTTTCAGCTTGATAATAGACAGGTAGAAGCCGTATTGCCAGGTGCAATCGATGGGATTTCTGCACACGATCCAAGCAGAGAATGACGTACCTTACAGGACAGATACACTCAGGAAATCATTCACTCTGACAGCATCATGACTTTAGTTGTTTTTGAATCCATAATGAAATTGTATTACATAACGTTAGTGTGTGTCTTTACCACAAACAGGAATAGTTCATTGTTATATTTAGATTTGAGAAATATTACAAGGATTTTATTTAGTTCACCATGAAGATGTTTTTTGTTTGTAACATATGCCCAGTAGTAAGATTCAAATATCAGCAGGTTCTGAATTATTATTCCTCTGTCCCACAACCAACAAGAATGTGGATGGGGAGAACTATATCTACTAGAACCAGCAGAGATTCATAAATTACACCAGAGACACAGTAAAAGTAAATAAAGAGTAATATTTAGCTATTTTCAGATAGTTTAAGCCTTCTTATACTTTGTAAAAGAACAAGTGCCTTTACACCAGATACAGTAAGAAGATGATTTATGATGTGAAAGGAGGGAGTTAGACGTTTTCCATACCAAGCTAATTGCTGCTATTTTACAAAGTGACATTAAAGGTTTAAGCTAGAAGTTATGAAAAACTTCATATTTATGATGAATATGTATTCTTATTTGTATTTTTTTACTTTTATGAGTTATGTACCATGCAATGTTCGGATGAAGAACTAATTGATTTCAATATTATTTACATACCTTAAAGGGTATGTAAGGAGGGATTGTTAGAAATTAAAATCAATGTTGGTATGGCGTAATTTGAATTAAATACACTATTTAATTTAAATCAGTTTTATTCTGAAAAACCGGAAGTTCACTAACTATTAACTTAATACTTTTATTCTGAAAATTCTTCATTTCCGGTTAGCATTAGCATGTGGCGAAATGCTGCATTTTCAAACCGTGAATCAAAGGTGAAATGACATGTGATGTTGTACACTGAGCACACTGGGTTTAGCACTCATTTATTACCGCTGAATAACGTTTATTAGGGGATGTTTAAATAACCACAGACACCAGAATGATATAATTTAACAACAGAAAAAGGCAGAAATTGCATTGGACCCGCCCCCGACCAATAGGAGAAGACCTCCGATGACAACAGGAAGAGCAAGCCAAGGATTGACCTCTTTCTACCGGGTGACCTGGACTGACCGGGCGGATGAGGAGAACGCCTCCACTCGCACATTTCATTTTGTACTGTACACCACCACATCTTTTGTGTAATTAAATGCTGTTAACTTTTATAAGCTTCCCTTGACTCTTTTCAGTCTCTCCTGCCTTCGGGGTTATAGAATACACTAACAAGTCCATAATCCATATTGTCAGGAGGATGAAATATGTAAAAAATCGTGAGGAATAACCGCCAAAGCGGGAGCTCTCGAAAATGCGACCACTCATAGTGAAACCGGAGTGTTGTTCAATTTGTGTGTTGTGGACATGTGTGCGTGCATGAAAATGTAAGTGCATATATTCTTGCCTAGTTTTGTTATTGGTGGTTTAATGTTCATAATACAGAGCTTACTCTGCAATAGACGGCAGTTAGCAATAGCCGCTAACTTTGCTATGCTGACTATGGGACAGCACGAGGTGCGGCCGCACCAGGCACGCTCCCTCACATTGCATAATGAACAATGTAACGCCAAGTTGATGCAGGGGCCAAATGTATGCAGTGTTCTTTATATTGTAGTCATTATAGAGACTTCATTGTGTGCATTCCTGTATGTTGTTCATGCGGGATTGTTTGTAATAGTTAATTACTTTATGTAATAACGTGTCACTTCAGTCGCCATTCTGTTGCGGCCTTTGGCCGCATAGGCCAGCTAATTGTGCCATTTCTTTGTCTGCCCGGTCACTAGTCATTGTCCCTCTGTATTACATGTTTGTTCATACCTGTTTATCTTTATGTTACACATACCACACCCATTCACACACCCATCCAACTACCATTGCATGTAAAATGTACTACCCTGGAAATCAATAAAGTAGTTAAACTGGAACAGCCTGTGGAAACCCATTCTTCCTTGCACGTCCGTCGCCAACACCTTCTGACAGAGGACAGGAAAATCTAGCTGCAGCACGACCTGTATACTTTTGCACGCCGTGTTCCCAACATAACCTGTTGCTGCTCCGTCCACACTCACAACAACGTCATACAGACATAAATAAAGCAGCGACTGTATTCACCATGACATAGACAGTCTGTGGTTTGTACATGTTTAACTTTTGTCCAGTTTCTGAACAGATATGAGGAGCTCTGAGTGTGTGCTAACGGCTGATATGTTGGGACCATAGGTTGGGACATATTTCGCTGTCGGGTGTTGACCAATCACGAAGCGTCATTTCTTGACTGGCAGCAAAAACAACCAATCACAGCAGTGCTTCTCTGGCTGGCTCTGTCCAATCACAAACAAGAAGTGTTCTCCCTAAAGAAATACCCTTTCCGTCCAATGTGAATTGCTGTGGCGTTTTGTGAAATGCTGTTGTGTTTTGTGAAATGCTGTAGTGTTTTCTGAAATGCTGTGGTGTCTTGCACTTCAGGCCCACCGTATTAACTAGAGCAGAAATAATTAGTCAATTACCAAACGTTCTCTGGTCCTTTGGGCTATGATGGAAATTCGTTTTTTCTACTTTATTTTAAAGGGGCCCTATTCTGCTCAGGTTCATGTTTGTATTTTGTGACTACTGTGACGAGTTTACATGCTTTAATGTTCAAAAAGTGCTTCATTTTTGTTTTGCCTTTGTTGCAGCACCTCTTTTTCCCCTCTATCTGAAACGATTGGTTAGCTGGCCAGCTCTGTTGTGATTGGTCAATCGCTGAGAGATATCCTGCCCTTAGCCTCACTATGTGAACTTTATGGAATCACGTACAATGTGTTGGAGCACTAGCCAATGGAAGCGCAAGTGTTACATGGAGATATCACTACGTTACAGAAGTGAACTAAAGAGTCTCTCCCACACACTCCCTCCCTTTTAGGCAGAGGGGAGAGAAACTCCCTCTGGAGGGAACTTTGGGGTTTTAGCCATTGCAGAACTATATAATACATAACTATCAATCTTCATTTTTGTAAGGTCTCAACACCTTACATATGTCACTAAGTTCTGAAGTTGCTGCTCATCATTTTTTAGACATGCTGTGTACTTACCTACTTATTTATCTTGTATTTTTATTCTAGTACAACTAATGTGTGTGCTTTTCTTCTATGTAGTAATATGTAAGCTTATTCTGTATTATTGCATTGCCTTTTTTGCCTGATTTTTTAACTACCATAAAGGGAAAACCCCAAAAAGCATAATAGGGCACCTTTAAACAACAACCACTTGAGGTCTTAGTACATGGAAATAGAGAGTTATACCTCTTATTGCTCATAATTTCAAAGATATTTAAACACTTTTTTCAGGCAAAATGACTGATTCTTCCCCTCTCTTCCCAGCATGCATTAGGGTCAAGTCGAACCTCTGGACTTCACACAGCTGGTGTAAACTGTATGTCCGGCTCAGTCTGCTCATAGTTAGATCTGATCTGTATTAAGACGTGGAAAACAGCTACTGATTCCAACACACTAATAAGTGTATGCAAATCTATATTTCTCTGAATCTACACTTGATGGGTTTATGCATTCTCTTATTCTGCTATATTCAAGTCATTTCCCAGCACTGCTTATGGACACAACAATAACAATCCTCATATAGACCTACCACATCAAGTGTCCGAGCTGCTCGTCATAGAAATACAGCAGCTCAAAGGAGTCAATCTGTGAAGGCAAGACAAAAACATATTGAATGTAATAAGAAACTCAGGTATGTTTTAATGGCACAATATATGGTAACGCCCTCTTTGTTGATAGGGGAGCGCTGTGGTCCTCCACTCAGTCTTATGCAACAGTGCCACCTATTGTTATAGTACAAATGACCCTTTATTAAGTGGAAATCACATCTTCAGACAGGAGAATAATTCATTATCTTATTTTAAAAGGCATTCATTTATTTTGAAATTTGTCAAATTGTTTGACTGTACAGTATTTGTTCAGTGAAACAAGCAATGTTTGTTGACAATACAATATTACACTTGTATTATATTGTGAATCCTTAAAAGATGAATGCGCCAATCAATTCATTTCCAACACCTTACATTTCAATCAAAGCCCCCCTCAGAGCCTGCTCATGCAATTTTATAAAGTAGTGTTTAATCCCTTTGAATGTCTTCTTTGAGCTCTGGTCTTGGCTTTTCTTTAGTAACAAAAAAGAAGACGCCTTGCAAGTAATTCATGCTTTTCCACTTGCCTCATTGTTACACAATCTATGGTCAGTGTGTATGAAAGTGGTTTGAGTGCACACGCTGTAGAAGGGTTGAAGGTCTACAGCTTCATAAACAAATTAAAAACCTTCAAACAGAGACGTCTGCATAAAAGCAATGATATCAGATGGTAGCTGTTGTGTTTGATAATAACTCTGTTTACATTCACTTACAGTTGTGTTTCTGTGCAGATATTGAAAACAGGGTTTGGATCATACGTAGGTGATGTTATTGTTATGTATTTTTTCACCACCTGACAAACTCAAATGTAAAATAAATGTATGCTAGAAGTCAACCAATGACTCACCGAGTATTAGTAAGAGATCTCTGAATGCAGGGACACCTAATATGTTTTGATGCTGTAAATATGTGTTTTTTAACTAGACACCACGCAGGGAAAGCAACAGCAATCTGCTGGAAAGAGACAATTATTTATTTTGGCGGTGCATCCTTGTTCCAAATTAAAGTAAATACAACATTTGAATAACTCTGACATTTAATAAAAATTAGTAATTCAAACACATCGGAGGAAAAAACAGAAACTGTGTACTCTGTCACTGTAGCGCCTGAACTCAGCATCACGTCCCTCAACCGTTTTTTTTTTCAACAAACACTTTTAATACACTTAAAAATGAAATTAATCATTTGTATTTCTATTATATTTGTATCTTATGGAATCTTTTAAACATGTTTCATTTGTGTAACGCTTGACCAATAAAGTATATATCTATCTTTATCTATCTTATTATGTCTTCTGTCCAAATGTTTTGTAGGGAGTAGGGAATCAGATTTTTATTTTTTATTTATATTTAATTAGACATTTTCAAAGATAAAAACATACGGACAAGGACATGGCTCACACACATCACAAACAGAACAGGACAATAACATGAAGGGTGGGGGGTAGGGGGATTACAGTGTCAGTTACATTTGATGTATGCATATGGCGTTGTATTTATACATGATTTGCTTCATAATATAGATATACTTCATTGTTTCCTCATTATTATTATAAAACAAAAAATGTATAACAGATAAATAAATAAATCAGATTCTTGACGTTGGTAATCCCATTATTGCAGGTCATTTAGTCACTAATGCAGGGTACCTGCATATTTGAACAAGTACATATTACTTTAAGACCTTTTTAATACTTCTAAAATAAAACATAATACCATTACTGTGGCAAAATAAATAGAAAAATAGACTGCTGTAAACACGATTATTGAGTTATTTTGAATTTGAATAACTGAAATATTCAGTTACATTTTTCTCTGCTGCAATGCTCAAACCAAAGCTGGATAAACAATCTTTTTTTTTTCTAGGAGCGGATCACAGCCACACAAAAGATACCTGCAAAAACTTTAGGGCAAAGTGTACGCTACCTAAAGTATTTGTTGTCAATAAACATAGGTAGTGGACCATTTAGATTGTCGTGGAAAAATATCACCAAAAACACTGATCAAAATAATACACACTTGTTTATTCTGCCCAAGCTTCAATGATATTCCTTGCCTTGTTAGATGTCAGACTTCTTTAAGAAATGGTTAGAATGGATGACCTTGAACATCAAAAAGTACATTTAAGTAATTTAAAATACTCTTTAAGGGTCTTCTGGGACCCACTTGCCAGAAAGCAGAAGAGAGATAAAACAAGCCATGCTTCTGGGCTTGTATTCTGCCCCAGATATGCCATACATCAACCTGCAATATCTTGTTGACAACATCATTGTCACAACTATGGTGCTTTAAGTCAGGATGTGTCAGGGAGAAAAATTAGCTGCACTCTTAGACAGCGGGATTAATTCTGCTGGATCAAACAAGTCTGACAATACTGATATGTTTCGTGTAGTTTTTTTGTGTCATAAGCAGGTAAGATAAGCTCTTTTTCAAAATATGTTCATAGATTCTGTAAAATGTACATAGAGCCCAGTAGTTGTATCACCCACTATCCAAACATGACGAGCAGAAAATAAAAATCTGACAACAGTTTGACACATTCCTCAGGCTATTCCAGTGTTCCTGGTGCACTCATCATGGACAATTATTTACCCTACACCTCTACACAAACAAATAAACGTTATGAAGATACTCACCAGTGAGGCCGGTTTGAGGTCTTTGATGATGGGGTTCTCTCTGACTGACAGGTGGAGCTGGTAGCCGCTGAGCAGGAGCCGATGGTTGATGGAGTCTCCCACCAGGTGGATGCTGGCTCCCATGACGAACGTGATGATGCAGAGGTAGACCGCCGAGCGAGGCAGCGCCCTGGGGCTGCGCTCTATCAGCTGGATGGAGCAGCAACACACACATTCTGTAAATATCCCACCATCTGTGTCTTAAGCGAAATTATCAATTGTTTTGGTCTCATCATTTTGAAATAATTAGGTCAACTGAAAATATGCATAAAAACAAGTAATATTTTTTGTTTCACAATAAATTAACCTCCATTCCTTCAAAAGAAAAAGCATGTGGCTTTATTTATTTCATTTATGCTTTGCAGTTATTATCAGTCCTGTGGTGTGGCAGACTGCAGATAATCAGAAATGAATTTCACGTCTCTGTTGATGCATGAATGAACTTCAGTGTTGTGCCTTTAAAAGCAGGTCTGTCACTTTTGGCTGCCTTGTTTCTTCGTGTCAATTTAGCTTTAGAAAAAGTGGCAACAGGAAAAAAATGCCCCAGATCGATGATATTTTGATTCTAAAGTCAACTGAAGCAAACTAAAATGGATATGTATCAGCTATATAGGCAGCTTAGTTACAGGAGCAGCTTTAATCAGCTGACATAATGTAACATGTCGGATAACCGTCTCATACTGTAAAGCTTATAATCAATTGGCATCGTGATTGTATGCAATTGATGGACAGGATCAAAAGGTTTTCAATTACAAGCTAATCATATCCAACACTGAAAGAACAAAGGACTATATTGTTGAGCCGGAATGGGAAATTAGTTTACTACATGTATACAATATCAGTGTAAAACTAGGAGAGATTTTTTTTAGATGAATATAAATCATTACATCTGTGTGACCATTGCATGTTATCAGTGTAAAAGTGTTTAATATACAAAGGCTACAAACAGTGTCTCTCCACTGTTTCTTATTCACAGTCATGTCATTTCCCTGCAGGGATAAAACAAGAGTGCAAAGGTAACACACAGCGAACCTATCACTGCCAGAAACCCTGTTGGAAATGTAGGTGATTTAGCATAATTAATATGCAACCGTAAATGTCATTCATAATTGGCACCTCAGGTTAACTAGCTCCTGCTGTATATGTGAAGCTGTGTCATAGAGCAACAGGTTATGGAGAAAACGTTTTTCTAATTTGTTTCATATACATTTAAGCCTGATTTGAAATTAAAGCTATTACCTTGCATTTTAATTAGACCTTAAAGATTAATGAGGCTGTTTACATGTTTTATTCTGGTGGTTACCATAGTGGGCCTGATTATTAGGGATGCACGATATTGGTTTTTTGAAACCGATACCGATAACTTCCTGCTTCTCAAGACCGATACCGATAACCGATAATAAAAAAAATGTTACGCCTGTGGTGACACGTTATTGGACATAATTCACCTTGCTTATTGTGTTGCCACACAGACCCTTTAGTGGGGAACACCTGTAGCTTTAGCTGCCATTCCTGCTAGCTCATCAGGCAGAGCAGTGCATGTGTTAACCTCTCTGAAAGGAATGGATAATAAAGATTGGAACTCCATTCTTAATACACCGCCTCCGACTCTCTTTTCACGGCACTACACGCCACTAATTATTTTAACGCGATTAACGCATGTGTATTTTTTTTCCTTGGCCGCCCCGTAGTTTCAGAGCGCATCGAGTTTAAAATACCATCTACAAGCTGATGCTGACAGCCCCGCTCCTGTCGCCCGCTTGTGGCAGACCACACTTCCACGCTCACCGGCAGGCACCGACTGGCCATCTGGAGCACCGGGAGGGTGTGTGTATGTGTGACCCGAGCGAGCGAGAGAGAGACCTTACGTGCATTGTTGTTGTTCGCATCTGGTGCTAGCTAGCTGCGCTAACGGATATACGGAGCTGTTTAAATGAAAACAGAGGAGCGACATTTCGCCACAACTGCGCCGAGCACTTGACTTTATGCAGGAAGCCAGACATTGTACGAAAAGTCAGCACACTCAGCACGGATAGTGCGCAACATGATTGCAGCGTCCAGGCAGCTCCGGTTCGAGCATATGCCTTGAGTTGCACATAGCTCCAACGCCCATACCACCGACGACATGTTGTTTACTGTCCTGGCTTCACGGCCGCACACCATTTACGTCACAGCCAGGCATGAGTTAGGGAGCGCTGGATTTGTGAAGAACCCCCCTCTTCCTAAACCACTAATACCACAGTACTGGCAAAACGGGAGGAGCCGAGTGAAAAACAAGCGCCCCTCATCCCAATCCACCCACACCGCAGTATTTTTTTCTTTTTTTTACCCAAAAAATATATTGTATATTATCGGGGCTATTAATACTGGTATCGGGTTTATCGGGATGACGTCATAATTCCTAATATCGGACCAATAATTATCGGGCCGATAATTATCGTGCATCCCTACTGATTATACAAATGTATGGGCTAGGAATGTGTGTGTAATCATGTTTGATGATATGGAAAATAACATATTTTAATCATTTAATTAACAATTATATACTTATTTTGCACGTAGTTCTTGTCTCCTTAGACCCCCTCATTACCATGGATCCCAGTCTCAGATTAATGTACCCTAACGAGGGTCCACAATAATATAATATTCTATGTTTTTACATTTCTTCAACAAGTCTTAAATGAATATAATTTGTATTAATATTATTCACAATCATCAAAGCAATCGTGTTAACACTTACCTTGAGCATTAGGAATGGTGTTATGACGTTGTAGGCCATGTGGAAGTAGTCCCCAGCACTGGGCTTGTTCAGGGGAAACCACTCCAGAGGAAGGAAAATCTAATTCATAAGATAACAAGAGGTTATTTGGTGTTTTGCCTCATGATACATGGAGTAAATATATATATTTTTTCACATTTAAAACTTCATTAGGGAAGTGAAAGACGCATTGATCTTCTTTACCATGACAATAGGTCTTCCAAAGTCCAGTATCCAGTTCTGCAGAGTCAGGCAGAACCACAGGTCAAAGTGGAAGTTCCTTCTCTGATGTGGCACATTGTCCTTCAATCCACAAGGAGCGCTGTTGAAATACATTTTCAATGATTGGGAATTGTGATAAAACAACGTTACAAACGAAAGGGCACAACAGAAGTTGAGCGTTTGATAGACATGTCGGGATTACTGTAGTATAGTAAGGTTTACTATAAGGTTTGTCTATAACTTAAAAGTGAAAAAATACTTTGTACATTGTTCACTTATATATATTCTAGAAGGCCATGGTAGTGTAACAAAAAAGGGGAAATGGGAGAATTGCACAACATCCTGATGTATATAAATGCAACCATCCATGATTTGTGCCATTCTATTGTGGGCTATTTTGCCTTTATTCCTGCTGTCTGAAAATATGAAATCACAGCTATTAATGTTTGGACCATTGGCTGACCTCTTCACCTTTAGTGCTTTGTGTGCATCTATGCAATTTCCTATTGCACGCTGAGCTAAGTCACCATACGTATGGTTTGGACAAAAAAAGGCTGAATGTGGCTGAATATGGGTCCTCCTTGAACCCTGTCTGTCAGGATGCAAAAGGAACATTGGCTGTTTGAACAAATAAGAAAAATAGTCGAGACTAGAAGAGTTGTCGAACTGCATGTCATGACCGACCATGCATTTAAAAGGGCATTGTGTAGTTGTTCTGGTATTCAGCAGTGAGGCTGCAGATGCAACCAACGTAATACACCTCCTGTATGGAAGATGAACCTGTTCACATCGCTCTGTGTAGATATGAAGAGCTCATCTAACGGAATGAAAACACAAACTTTTTTTATTCTAGTGTGATAATACAATAATATATATAAGACACCATTTCTGCTCATCAGGTGCCCACTAAATACTACTAACTGACCCTTTTCAGAAACTGGTTGTGAAATTAAAAACATTATCAACCAAGCCACACAGTCTTCGAACAACTGAAGTGCAAGAGACACTTTTCTGCCTCCAGCAATTGGTTTCAGTTCCATGGTTACTTTCACTTATATAGTGAAATCCACCTGTTTGTAAAATATTTCTATATAGACAAGAAAATGTTATCTAATACATGAGTGCCCTTTTTGGGGCATTGTCTTTAAGTGTTGTCTTTATTTTCTCTGTCAAAGAGGTTATGTTTTCTGGTTCGGTTGTTCGACTGCTTGCAGGGTTATATCACCTACTGCCCCGTTTTCATAAAACTTGGTCAAAGGCCATGAGCCAAGAACGAAGCCACAACATTTGGAGCAGATCTGAATAATGTGTGGGATAAACAAATGATTTGCCGATTTGGTTACCTTAGCATTTGGCCTTGGCAAAGGTCTGCTGCACTCCCTGTGTCCCTTTTAGTTTTGAGCTGTTTGTAATTTTGAATGTAAATACAATTACTAAATTGACAGCTAGTTTATATTCTTTTGTGCATGATATTTACTTATGACATAAGGTCTGATAACAACATGAGTTATGCTGTACCGTATTTAGTCTAGCTTTTGTTTTTTGGTATCTCAACCATGATCTCGACTTGTTCTGATTTCATGATTGGATTTGTTGACTTCCTGTTCAATTCTTGAAGGCAAACTGATGTCCTTAGGCCAGGGTTGCCAACTCTCACGCATCTGGCCTGTGACACACGCTTTCACTCTCAATCTCACGCTCTGCAAACTATTGTCACGCCAAAAACAAGATGAACCGGCGATCGTTTTTGGTTGGTTATTTACAATGTTGAGTTGACAGCTGCTCAAGCTGTCGACCCGCTCCCTCCCCGCCCCCACCACTCTTAACAACGTTAACAGACAGCAGAGCAGTGGGAGCCGGTTGGTCAATCCCCGACCCGTATTGCGAAGATCTAAGATCCAGTAGAAATGATAAAAAGAGAGTGTGTTAATTAATATATTTGGCAGTTTGGAGTAAGGCTGTAGATTTGTTTGTGTGTGTGTGTTTCATGTATAGGCCTCTCACGGTAATTAATTTTGTTGGATACATTTTCCCGGAAATTATTGCGATAAACGATAATATTGTCGGCACCGTTGTATGACCATTTTAGACCACTGACATAATGATAATATATTCAAGTACATCCTTTCAAACTGCTAGTCACATCCTCATGTACATGGAAATGTATCAAGTTCATTTTATTTATCATACGATAAGTCAATTATTTGCTTATCGCGACAGGCACACAATAAAACAGTGGAAACAAACATGTGTTTGACTTTCATTAGTGAATGAAACTTTGTGCCGTTTATAGTCTGTGTCCAATATTGTGTATTTGTATATATTGTATATCCTATATATGCTAAAGTCCCGCTACTGACATGATAGCAGTCATTAGTGTGCATATGCAGGGCCGCCCCTCCCTACAGGCCAATCACGCAGGCTGCATGGGGCCCCGCCTTGCGCAGGGGGCCCCGCCCACAGGGCCTCAGCTGCTGTGCGCAGTTCTCCGCTCAGTTCTCCGCTCACCCCCCGCGAGAGTGAGAGGTGAGAAGGGGAGCACGTCTGTAACCCGACACCGTTGCAATGAATCGACATCTGACCAATCACGGCTTTGATACGGCCACTATTGCAGGTGAAGAGATGTCGGTGAAATTATTGTATGAGTCAAATGTACAACTTGCGAATGTTGTATAAGTCAAATTGCCAATTGCCATATTAAAACATCAGCTGCAATTCACGACATGAAGAAGGCAGTCTCTGCATAGCATATAGGCTAATGGAGATGCAGTTATTTCCAGCATTCTTTATTTAACATTCATTCAAGTATGTTATGCCTTTTATCTGCTAATGTACAGGAGGAAGAGTGATACACTGTCTGTCTAGTTGGCTTACATAACAGTTAAAGTTTACAGCTTAAAAAACATGGAGCATTTTTCCCCCTTTTATTCATTTTTATGTCAATTTGCACATTTCATGGTGACGCTCAGCCTCTCCCTTAACTCCTAACAGTCATCATCATGTCAACCACAACACAGAGAAATGTGTGTGTAGTTGTTGATACATTGCTGACAGAGGGAACTACGTTTGAATACAGATTTAAGAAATATCAGTTTTTGAGCATGTCATAAGCATGTTTTGTCTTGACTATATTACAACTATATTATAATAAAATAATATAGTATTTATATTATTGAATTGATTATGATTATGATTATGATTATTATTAGAAGTAGTTTATTTGCATTCATTATATTTTAATCTTTTTAAGGCTAGTATTTGGCAGGAAATACAGACGTACCTGCACATTTAGCATTTACCTCACTGTATACAAAAGTAACTGTGTTGATACTAATAATAAACAGGAATTATATTTGCAAAGTAGTTTGTTTCCAAATAAATTTGTTTCACTCCTGTCGGTAGCAGGGGGGGGCCTCATCTCACAATGTCGCTTGGGGCCCCAAGTTGGCCAGGGGCGGCCCTGTGCATATGTGTAATTAAACGCATGATATCAAAATCTCACTCCAGCCAGGTACCCAAAGTTGGCAACCCTGCCTTAGGCTTTATAAATAACTTTTCCATGGAGTTTGTTTTATGTTCAGTTGTTTGGCCTGTCAACAGGATAATGGAAAATCTACTGACATTATTATCATTAAACTTGCCCGAAGGGTGTAGCATGAGCCAAGGAAGAGCCCATTTCATGTTGGATCTTATCCACGCAATGTTTACAGCTGTGAAACGATGGTCTTCATGTGCCTTTCTAGTTCCAATTGTGTTTACATGTATGCATACCATGGTTATTTGGCCAAATAATAAAATACAGTTATGTGCAACAGTAGGCTAGTACTGAGTTGAGTTGGTTGAGTCATGTAGGACCAGCAGTGGAAAAGGGCAAAGACTGACTGAGACAAGCGGAAGGCACGGTTAACCACAAGCTCCTCCAGCCGCAGCTATCTATTTATATCTGTCACATGCAACCGAGTGTTGTTATGCAGTCCTTGTTTAACAAACAGCTACAAGACTTTACAGAAACAAGTTTTTTTTAAAAACTATTTATGATGTTAACCCTAATTCGCGTCAGCAACCAGCGGATCTGCTCCTGCTCGCTCTCACTTACTTTAAATGCATTCTCCATATTTGGTTTCTGGACAGATGCAGACAAGCAGCAGCAGAGCGGATTGTGAGTTGTTATCGCAAACAAGAGGTTACAAATCATGTTCTTTCTTAATATCGATTATATAGTTGCTTGCTTCATTCTTTAACCAGCCCTTCACTAAAAAAAACACGGCTAAAAAGGTAACACTTTCGTCAGCTTAATGTAAAGTGTACAAACCTAGTTTGTGTTTTCTCTTTTAAATCGTTGCTGCGACGTTTTCTTGCAGACATTTTCGCTTTATGTTAGCGAGTGTTGATCCAAATAACGGTACTCCCGTGCTGTGGTCTAAAAGGATGTAAAATTAACGCTATTAAATTATAGTAAACACATTTCTGTCAAAACTCATCTTCACTTCCGTGTTGGAGCATTGTTCCCGCCCTTCGGTCCCGCCTTCTCCACCAATCAAACCGCAGCACAGGAGCTACACGTGAATTGTGGTAAAGTGAAATGATAGGTAGGCAAACTCAACCCTTGTAACAATAACACAAACAATTAACATAATGTTCGTCTTTGCTAAAGTTTTATAATATAGGACTTTGAGTGTACTGGAATAAATATATAATTGTTCTGTGCTTACTTATAACCAAATAAGATGCATGAAATGAATTTAGTATTATATTATCCTTAAAACATGTATTTGCCTTTGTGTACATGGTTCTCATTATGGGGTTTAAATTATTAATCTGCTTGTTTTCCATGTTTCACTGTCAACGAAACATCAAGCATACTGTATCAGACATTACACTGACAATATGATATATATTTGTTTATTAATGTGGAACCTGTATTGTACAAAATATCACAGTATTACCCGAGAGTACTGCTCCACATCCCCATAAGTCTTATTAAAATATCCTTATCCAAACGAAACGTAGAGAATCAGTCCTGGTTTTCAACAGTGTATTTATATTTATGTGTGTTATCATGCTTTTTTATTCTAGAGTTGGTTGTATATTTGTTTCTAATCTGGCCATATGGATGAGGCATGGATTTGCCTCCAAACCAATTTAATTGTTGCATCATATTGTTCATTGTTTTTTATATAGACATTTTTTAAATAACGAATTTCAAAAATGAGATACTAGAGTAGTTCTTCAAAAAACTCCATTCAAGTTTCAATACACAGTTGTAATTGTGTTAACTGACCAGAAGATGTCACCATTTTCTACAAAACGCCTAATTGTTGTAGATGTACAACTATGATGCTGTACAACTTTTTCTGCATCCCTGTGCATAATCTTCCATCAAGTCTTCAAACACATTTTTTGAAGTAAGACAATGATGCACGTAAAAGCAGATATTGGGGCTATTGATTTTTTATAATGAGTCAAAAACATACTTTTGTAACAAAAATATATTGAGTTAAAATCTACATCATTGTACATTTTTAAACATGGCTAGTCTGAGTGGTATCCTCTATCAGTAGGTCAATCTGTGAGACAAACTGCTGTGGACAGATACTTGATGTTGCCTACAACAAATCATGGCTGTCCTGTCAAACAGCAGCTAGAAGGAGGAGTTATTTAATGCATGCACACACACACACACACACACACACACACACACACACACACACACACACACACACACACACACACACACACACACACACACACACACACACACACACACAACACACACACACACACACACACACACACACACACACACACACACACACACACACACACACACACACACACACACACACACACACACACACACACACACACACACACACACACTGTATTCTCCGGTTCCCGTCAGGTTCGGCTCAGAGAAGGACTGAGGGATTAGTCTGTTCTCACTCCTCGCTCGGTTCAACATGGACTCAGTGCATTTTCTGCTCTTCCTCGCAGTCAGCGCCTTCACTGTGAAAGGTAGGCTGTCAATGTGTGCTTCAATTGCAAATTAACTCTTTTTTTGGGACGTGTTGTTGTTGCGTTGCATGTTATTAATTCATCATAATCATAATTACATAGCTTAACTGTTGTGCCAAATACTGAGTTTAAGTGACATTAGAATCAGAAAGAATCAGATATATTTTATTCGTCTAACAATACATAAAAAGCACTACATTTACATCGTTAAAGCCAGTCTAGAGAAAGGCAAAACTGAGATGAGTAGAGTGACTTATTAAAAAAAGAGTCAATTACACGTTAATACAAATATGATCAGATAAGTACACACCCATGATATCAATGAAGTATAAGCATTATAAAAAAGTAAGTGATCATATGAAAGTAATTATACAGACAGTAAAATTATTATATTGTAAGAATAAATGTCTAATTGCATATAGTAGTGTTATTATCGTGATTAAATTGTATGTTTAAGCAAATTGTGTATAATGACCTCACTAGCACATTTAAATAAGACCTGGTAGAAAGTTTAATATAGAACGTTTTTTCAGCATGGACCTGCTGGTCACTGGAAATATCACACTAAATTCATTTTTCATGGACTGTTTCTTTATTAAGACCAGAGTGAAGCTGTTCTTGTTGTGCCTCTCGCATTATGTTGCAACACTTTTCCATTGCTGTGTATGAACCAGATCCCTGCCTGTGCTGTGAAAAGAAAACTAATCATAAGGCTGAATGAAATCACTCTCTGCAAATGAAAAAAGCAAAAAATCTTAAGAACCCTGTTCCTCAAATGGTTATTATCACACAAATTATTTAAGACATGCTGCGTCTCAGAATTTCGAAAATGTTCATCGACTCAGACTCTTCACTCTACACTTTATAGTTAATTGAGGCTTCCCGAGAGTCTGAAGAGGCATATAAGTCGTTTTAGTGTCTGCACGTGACGTGCATATCTAAATGTCCAGGCATATGTGGTACTTTAATCCCTTGCCCATCTCTTTGATATTATTAAGGCTGTTCAATCTGATATAAAGTTAGAAAGGCGATACTTTTTTTTTTATGACCACAAATCAGCAACATTATGTCAACAATGTCTCAGAAATGTTCCTTTTGTGGTCTGATAGCCAGTAATGTCCTGGATTGTGTGGCAGAAAAATCGTAGGACAAAAACACACATTGATGTCATCTTGCTAGACTTCATGATGAAATTTGATTACGGCTGGTGGGGTTCGGAGGGGGCAGCTACCGGGTTGGATAAAAGGCATAGTGTCATGGACAAAGACACACTTTCAGCTAATCTTTCAGTCTTTCTTTTATTTTATGAAATAACCGGATGCAACACAAGGCAGAGGAATGGGGAGAAGCCTAAAGTTCTCTGCCAAATCATTGGGATAATGTGCTTCTCATAGGTAGTTTAGGATAATTGGGTTGTGGCCATTAGTGAAGTGAATAAATGCTGTAATGATGATGATGTAAAATGGGGGTGAAATGTTTCTTTGTCTCAAACTCATCGTTGAACATAAAGTATAATGGGTAACACTTCCTCTTGCCCAACAACGACTTCACCCATGTTATATTCTTTGTTGAGTTTTGTGCTTATATTATCCAAATGTTTCGGATCATTTTTAACCCAAGATGAATCCTTAATTGTAATCAAGTTAACCATCTATTTCATTCCGTTGCATGCATAGACTGCAGTTTTTTGTTGTTGTTGTTTTGTAATTCTCTGTCAAAGCGTCTTTGAGTTTCCTGAAAAGCGCTATACAAGTCTCATGTAGTATTATTATTCCTGTGATAGCAACATATTTGTAATGTCCTCGCATGTGTCAGAGTTATTAGGTGTTCTTACAAGCTTTCATAAATTACATTTGTATCCACTTTATCTAACTCAACAAAGTATTTTAGCCATTGGACTTTAATCAAACGCTTGTAGCCCCTCTCTCCATTGTATGACAGGGTAACATTGAATCTTTTTGCTTATTGAGTGTTTAACCGGTTTCCATCATCAGGGCTGACTGCAATGACAACCTCCCATGATCTACGACTTCACAACACCACCAAACTATTTTGTTATTGTTTTGAGTGAGAGGCCCATTGTGGCAAGTGGTAATGATCTAATGTTTAATTTGGGCTACCCTTATCACAACACATCTTACCTGCACAATAGCTGTTAAGTCCCACCCCCTGTTATAACACGTAACCCTGAACTATTAAAGCTTCACTCAATATATGGTTGGGAACTGTCAGGAATTTTGACTTAATAGCTAAATATCCTACAGGTTATGAAAGTATTCACCAAAATAAAATATTACACTAACAGCATACATACACTATAAAGACAAAAGTATTGGGACACTCCTCTTAATCATTGAATTCAGGTGTTTCATTCAGTCCCATTGCCATAGGTATACAATCAAGCACCTATGCAGTCTGCCTTTACAAACATTTGTGAAAGATTGGGTTGTAAAAAGCTCACTGAATTCGAACGTGGTATTGTAATAGGATGTCAACATTACAAAAAGTCAGTTCGTGAAATGTCTTCTCCCCTAGATATTCCACAATCAACTGTAAGTGGTATTAGTGCAAAGTGGAAACGTTTAGGAACCACAGACACAGTCCAAATCTTGACCAGAAGAGTTGAAGCTGCTAAGGGGTGACCAACGTCATATGAATGCCTAAGAATTTGGAATGGGATATCATAACAGCTCCTGTAGGTGTAAGGTGTAGGTGGTCCAATACTTTTGTCTATATAGTGTATGTGTTAGTGAAGTGTAGCACTCAGATACACTTAGTCCTTTTTTGTTAAGTAATTGTTAAGGTACATTACTGTCCTGGATTCTCTGTCTTTTGTAGTTTCTCTTCAGGGGGCAGAGCAGCACAAACTGTACCATGACCTGATGTCTAACTACAACCCACTGGTGAGACCAGTCGACAATGACTCGCAGTCTCTCACTGTTCACTTCGGCTTAACCCTCAGGCAGATCATGGATGTGGTATGTTAATAATGACTCTTCACATATATCACTAAGCATACATATGGGCAAGGTGGTCTTATGCTTGTATAGAGATTGTTTCCTTTACTTCACAGCTAAAAATCAACTCTCATATGTAATAATGTTCACTTCTCCAATATTGGTAAAGTCAAAACTAGCAGGTATTTGTTTGTTTCCAATTATCTTCCATTCACATTCATTCTTTTTGGATCATTTAAGTCTAATGTGATCGTCTTTGCATCTAATGTTGCAGCTTTACAGTCAATACCTTCTCTGTACCCAAGGCTCTTAGAAATTATGATTCCTCCATTGTGAAACTTAAATTGAGAGATACCTACAACGAAATACCTGAACAGTTAATATCACTTCATCATTTTTTAACAGGATGAGAAGAACCAGGTTTTGACAACCAACATTTGGCTACAACTGGTAAGCCTTTTTTCTTACAACTATAGAAACGTTTACATTCACAACCTGATGGCCACATAGTGTACTTTTTAAATGATGAATCCATGCATTTTATACTTACCCTGTTTATGTTCACAACATTTGTTTAATCACGAGTACACCCTGCTGTTTTTTGGGGGGTTATGTGACAGACTATTTATTGGATGTGACTTCTTGAAGTCCTAACAGCTGCAACAAGACTTGTCAAATGAGGCATGTTATCCCCCAAAAAACACCCATTGTGGTTCTTACATGTCCATTCTTGTAAGATTACAAAAAAAAATGTAAAATGTTAATCATTCATCTTTAGAGGTGCTGGTAGGTAAATGTCTTTACCTGTGGATGGAGCAATGCTATCTATTTTTTCTTGTTTACAGTTTTTTTCCTAAGCTATAGATAACCATGCTAGCTGTGGCCACATATTTGCTTTAGAGACTTGAAAGAAACATTGTAAATACACTGTAACTTAAACTTGAGCCTTTTAGCTGGTATTTGTTTGTGCATGTATACATAATGAATGTGCAGTTATTGCCAGATAGTTTTATTTACAAGTATTTTCCATTTCGCCACCCAGTTTCCTCACTTTCTCCTCCTTGAGATAGGGTGTATGAACGCAGCACACACATTTCCTCACAGCCGGTCCATTGTGTGACAGTGGCTCCCTGCTGCTGCACTGTCAGTAAGCTGTTTCAAGGCGGCTTGGTCTGCTTTAAATCACCCCGTCGAATCAGAGCAGCAGTCTCCCTCAATCTCTCTCACTCTCCACACCTCACACAATCGACTTTGGTACAAACACAAGATTACGCAGACAAAATTCGAAGCAGCATCTCTATAGGTGTCAAGATAGCATATGTTGCTTCTTAAAGATGTTTATCTCTGGAAGTCACTTTGTGCCATTAAAGATGGTTCTGTAAGGTTACAGAACCACACAGTACATGATCACATTGACAAATTATATCATTCCTTTAAATGTAATTGGTGTAGGCTAGCTAGTATGTCAAAAGTAGAAGCAGATGGTAAACATGTGGTTTGTGATTGAGTTTAGTATTTCTGTTAATAAGGGCAAAATGCACTTTATTATGAATTAACCAAATGATCCTTTCATATATTTTGCCCAGCCTTCATTTACGACTGACCTTTATATTTCTCCTTGCTGATAACAGCCTTTATTTGAATTCCATGATGGTTTAAGTAAATTGAAAATAAATTATAAAGGATAAGCCAAAGCCTTTTTATAATAATGCACTTCCTCAAGATGTAAAAAATCTGAGTGCAATGTTTTGGTAAAGGAGGTTCGCTTAAACAATGGGGTTTTCAGAGGGGGGGCTAAACCCCAAATCCAATGAGAAAGAATGTGAGAGTGTAGCACATGGCAGATTGAAAAGCTTTCTGTTTTTCAAAGAGTCAGACATGGTGCAAGATTCAGTATTTTACTTGTGTTTTAATGTACACACATTGTACAGTTTCACCTACTAAGGAGATTATGTTCTGTTTGATCATTTCAATGACACATATTAAAACAGTGACATTGCTCATTAGTTTGTGATCCAAGTGTTATTATGCCTCTTCACTGCATTGATATTCTGTGCACAAACTTAAATTCCACTAATGTGTCTAAATGTCAGCTGATGTTATAACCTGTAGCTCATTTATATGTATTGAAAATCACTCAAAGATGTACAATATTACATATCCATTGCTTTGTGCTTCATACAGTTTGAATAGCATGCAATTGTGGAAAATCAAAATTCCCTCGTCAGAAGTTGCTATACCTGACACAGAAATTGAACAAAATTCTTGTAGCATGTCATTGCATTATGTTACCCGTAGCTGCTGTCACATACATTTATATTACCCATTATAGTAGCTGTCGCTGCTGCTAGTACACACTAGTGGTACAGTGAATCCCAGGTCGAGCTTTCAGGCAAAGCTTTCCTAACGCAGAGCCACATACAGGTCATGTTATAGATATATGTGAAATATAAAAAAAAGTACATTATGTTTTTGCGTCCTGCAGTACTGGGATGATTTTTACCTGCGGTGGAATCCATCAGATTATCCAGGTGTGCCCAATGTGAGATTTCCTGACAATCTCATTTGGAAGCCAGACATCCTGCTGTATAACAGGTATGTATTGTAAGGAACCATTGGCTTAGAGCAGGGGTGGGCAATTATTTTTTCCATGGCCACATGAGAAATAAAAAATATTGTGGAGGGTCGGGCCAAAAGGCTGAACTCAATTCTACATAATATTAATTGTATTTCTTTATAAAAAGCAGTAAATAGCATTGTTTTGACAAGCTGGTAAGAGTATATGTTATAGTTGAGCAATGAAAAAGTGAGGTTGCCTTACAAAAAATGTAATTTATTCAATCAAATTTCCCAAAACAATGGTAAACAAAATGTGAACGTTTTTCACCATTTCTGACTCATATTAGTGAAAATGTTCAGTCGCATTCACTACAAAACACATTTTGAGTTTCATATACTGTTGGAAAGTTGTGAAAAGGTTCTTAGCATTCTTAAGACATCACAACATTGTCTTTGTGCTCCAAACATTCAGCAAGATACATCATATTGAACTGTCACTGAACTGTGATTTTGAGAAAAAGGCTTCCAAAGAAAGTGTCCCAGTTCACTGCTCGTTGGTACCTTCACATGCCTACATTTGTAGCCTAACCACCTCATTTGGTGTTTTTAAGTTCTTTTTTCTTGTTCAGTGAGAGAAATCTAGTCTCTGCTGGGCTTTAACGAGTGCATCGAAGTCAGGTTGAATGTCTGAGGTGGAGATGCGAAGCACAGCTGACAGATGATCATCAGTGAGAGAGGATCTATACCTGGATTTCATAAACTTCATCTTTGAAAATGTTTGTTCACATAGGTAGAGCCAAAGAGAACCAACATCTTCTGAGCATGTCTCCTCATGTTTGGAAAGTTCTCCTCCTCGAGAGAAGAGTAGAAATCCAGCAGAGATCCTGACTTAAAGCGCTCTACCAGTACTGCATCAGACTGCAGGTCAATGAGTTCCAGCTGAACATCACTGGGTGCATTATCCACACTAAAGGTAAAGGGAGAGGAAATCATGAGCATTTCATCCTCGATTGTTCGGAGATCTTCAAATCGCCTTGAAAACTCACCATGCAATGCTCCTAACATGGATGAGTACCTGCGGAGGTGATCAGCTGATGGTGTGACTTCTTTCAGGGTTTGCATGTGAGTGAGAGTGTTGCTCTCCAGTTGGCTTGAAAGAAACTGCATCGTTGTCATGAAAGCCTTCACCAGGCTGTGCATCTCATGAACAAAAAGGCCCTTGCCTTGCAGTTTGGTGTTCAGTTCATTCATCAGTGCAGTCACATCAACAGCAAATGCTAAATCTGCCATCCAGTCCTCATCTGAGTGCTCTGGGATGTCTTTGCCTTTCTTCTCACACAACTCTTGAATCTCTGCTTTCAGGTCCCAAACTCTTTTTAGCACTTTGCCCAGGCTGAGCCATCTGATAGCTGTGTGGTAGCCGATGTCACTATGCTCAGTCTCATGCTCCTCCAAAAGTGCAACAAACTGTCTGTGATTCAATGCCCGTGCCCTGATGAAGTTTACTATTTTAGTACCAACATCAATAACATGGTGCATTTTTAGCACTGACTTGCACAACACATGTTGGTGTATAATACAATGCAAAAATACCAATTTCTGATCTGCGTCGATTTCAGTCACTTTATCTTGCATACGTTTCAAAAGTCCAACATTTTTACCTGTAAGATTTGGACAACCGTCTGTTGTGACACCTGCCAGTCTGTCCCATTTCAGTCCCAGCGTGTTCATGCACGCATTTACCTCCGTGAACAGATCGCTCCCTGTCGTCGTCCCTTTCATCGGCCGCATTGCTGCCAGCTCCTCCGTAATCTTGAAGTCCAGCGTTATCCCACGGACAAATACGCGTAACTGCGCTGTGTCGCGGACATCACAGCTCTCGTCCAAAGCCGAGGAGATAAAGTCAAAACTTGCCACTTCATGTTGCAGCTGAAGCTCCAGATTCCCCGCAATGTCCTCGATCCTTCTCGTCACGGTTCGCCTGGACAGCCGGACTTGCTCAAATGCTTCTTTTTTTTTCAGGGCATATTAGTGCTGCAAAGTCCACTAAGCACTCTTTGACAAACTCCCCCTCTAAGAATGGCTTACTGTGTTTAGCTATTTTGTGGGATATCACAAAGCTGGTCTTGGTTGCTGCATCCTTGGATGTGTGAAGCTTGGTAAAAAAGCCTTGCTGCTTTTGCAGCTTAGCTAGCAAAGCGTTCGATGTGCGCACCCTTTCAGCATCAGTCAAGTTTTTGTATTTCTCCGCGAGTTTCGTCTCGTAATGCCGACTCAAATTGTAGTCCTTGAACACGGCGATCTTCTCCCCGCAAACTAAACACACGGCTTTACCTCCGACTTCAGTATATACTTAGCAGTCCAATTTTTGTTGAAAACCCTACATTCGGCATCTTTTTTTAGCATGAGCTGACATTTTTGAGCGCAAAAGTCGTCTTGTGACAATGATCCAATAACGCGCACGTGACGTCTTGATTTGACGTATTGCGTCATTATGTACGTGAATAAAAAACAACTTCAAAATAAAAGCATTGCAGCTTTAGTCCATGCATGAGGTAAAAATTAGAAAATATGTTTATTTTGTAATTTCTAATTAACCTTACACGGTCCGGTCAGAGTCAACCAAAGGGCCGTATTCTTTCACACACACATACGGGTATTGGGCCGAGCGCGACACCGTACTTCCGGTCTGCGCCGTTTTACGCGAGGTGCAAGCAGCCGTACACCGTCTAGGTGTTGCTAAACTTCCTGTACTGAATATCATAGTCTATTGCCTTAATCAATATCTAGTCAACTCTAAAATACCACATATGCAATGGCATGATAATATTATTGTGACAAGTGGGGTATTCACCTGGTGTTTCCAGAAATTAGACGTAGATGCAGCCAAAATCGACGAAGGCCACTGTCGTTTTTCCATACATCTGCAGGCAGTCTGTAACAACCCACACAGCTCTAGTTTACGCTGGTAACGACCTAAAGCACACCCCTCAAGTCCAGAGATGTAATCCGAAGACATGCAGCGATTTCTTCGGTCGTTAATTCAGAAAAAAAACCTACTGCGCTCTGCCTGGCTAGTTAGCTAGCTGTTTATATTTGCACTTCCAGGATATTAGCACCTCCAGGAAAATGGTGCATTTATATATATTTATATGGCGCGTGTTGCATTGTGGGTAGCTCGTGACGTCACTGTGTGTGAAAGAATGTGGCCCGGGGGCCGTACAATGCCCAGGTCTGGTTTAGAGCTTCCCTGTAATTGGATATGCATGGTGTCGGACTCAGCATGCATGCATTGTCCTCTACACAATATAATGGGGAGGATCTCAGAGGGATTATGCTATTATGGATTATGTTCTATAATTAATAACAACCATTACAATGGCACTGGCTGTGATTCTTGCACAGATTACATTATTTTTCTTAAACATAAGGGAATCAATTGTGTCAATGTTATCTTGTGTTGAAGATGTGTCATTAAGAATCACATTAGGGCCTCATGAGAACAAAATCACAACAAATAAATACTATCCCTTTGAGTGCTTACATTTCACTCTACCTGAAACATGGTTATCTACCTTTGACTGCTTGATTTGTTATGTTTACGTCTGCTGATTTCTGTCAGCAGGACTTTAAGCTCTGTGAAGTTCCCCCTTTTTCTCTTGACATTTTTGCAGATGAAACTTCCCCAGAGATGGAACGAACAGGCTTAGATTCCCTTTTTTTCATTGTTTTAATGATCAAATCCCACAAATGAAGCAGGTGGCAACTCTAAAGTTAAAATGAGCGACTCATGACTGTTTTAGTCATTTATGCTGTTTAGACGGATCCCTTGTACAATCAAACCGGAAGATACACACAAGAGAAGCTCTAAGAAATTGAACATTTTCTTTTTTTATGTTGCCATAAAAAAGCATTTCGCAACTGTTTTTTTTCCTTTTACAATAAATCAAAAATGAAATACAGTAATACAACTTTAATCCACACCAGATTCTGAAAATTCACCTCGTGTTCTGCATGAAATAAAAAGCCCTCAGAATAAAATAAATAAAATATATTCATGTGGCTAGACATGTCACTAATAAATGGCAAAGCACTTCATTTGTCATTGTCCCTCTGAGGAAAGCCTTAATTTCAGATTATTTTAATTAGATACTGCTCAAAGTTAGTCTTTTTCACTTTCAACTTCAGCTCAACCATGCTTTAAGCTCTTGGGAGTTTATTTAGGGGAAGTGAATCAGGGGGAGAATCTTAATTCTGAATAACCATCTCCAGGGACATGTTGTTGCATCTCTTCTGACTCCTCGTGTACCTGCTGCTGATAATGAGATAGAAAAATATACAAAACCAAATATCTTCTGCTCGCTGTGTGTGGCTCATCCAAATTAGTTTAGCATCTTCATGATTAAAACTGGGTCTCTCAAAGGTTACATCACTGTTTGAATTTATTAAAATGTTTTCCACTAAAGCTGCACTTTGGTTAACGCCGCAGTAAAAACTGATGTAGCTGTATGTTGTCCACAGTGCTGATGAAAGATTTGATGCTACGTTTCACACCAACATTTTGGTCAACTCCTCGGGCACCTGTTCCTACCTACCTCCAGGTAAGAGCTATTAAATCAGTCCTGACAGGTCAGTAAAAACAGATGAAAGAAAGATTCCAAATTGTAAGACTTGCTACTTGTTTTAGGAAACACATCAGACTTATATAATGGCGCTTTTCCACTGCAGGACCTAGCACGGCTTAGTGCGGTATGGTTAGGCAGGCCTTGGTAGGCCAGGCAAGACGTGAACATGTGACGATTTACCATGCTGCGAGACGTGAACATGTGACGATTTACCATGCTGCGAGATGTGAAGATGTCACGATTTACCATGCTGCGAGATGTGAAGATGTCACGATTTCGTCCCTTCAAACGTGACAGTTACACGGTATTGTTAACCCATGTTAACCAGTGGAGAAATACCCGGAAATGCCAAGCAAATGCTACCCCGACGGTCGGTTGTTATTGTCAATATTAATATAATAATTAAAAATGTTAATAGTCACACTTGATTACGCCGATTTTCTTGTTGCCCCAGCTGGTCGACACCTCTTTTAGCATAAACAAAGGCTACATTAATGTATTAAATCGATGTTAATCCATGCGTGTGGATGTGGAATTAACGGACGTGACGTTGTGCGATTGCGTTGCCAGGCAACAGCTTCGGTTCATGTTAAATTATAAACTCTTCAACTACAACCGTAGTTATATTTAAAAACATGTTCGAAGGCCTCACAAAATACTTTAATTTAAATTTAAATGTGAAGGAATGTGTGTATAACAAAATACATCCATCATAAACTAAACCGGAAACAGATGTAGGCAAGATCCTCAGCTCGATGATTGGATGGTTTAGCCGCAATGCACGCTGGGATTTGGTGTTTATGCGATGTGAAATCCGAAAACATTTTTTAAAAATAAAATACTTTATTCCGAGTGTGCTTGCTTTTCTCTTTGAAAGTCATCACATAACGGCATTGTAATACACGGTTACATATCTGCCGTAGTTCTCTATTTATAGAGCCCTGATGAGAAGACTTCTGGACAAACAGGAAAAACTGCCGCCAAAACTTAAAACGTGACGTGGATCATAAATATATCAGCAATTAAACAACATCTTACTTTTCTTTTCACACAATACGTCTCCTTGCAGTATCAACACTAATTCGGCTTTTATATTTGAACCAATTGGTAGATAGGCTGTATTTACACCATAACGGTGCACAGCTGATAGAAAGGGACACCTAGTGGTTAAAGCACGTTAATGAATTTTATTATTTTTCACAAAAATGAAACCATCAATAGCAAAAACAGAATTAACTGTCATTAGTAAACCACTCAAATAAAAAGATCATAAGTGGTTTTGTTTTACATATATTTTAAGGATAATACACTGTCTATGACACTTATAACACTTTATTAACCAGTGTCCATGTGAAGTTATCGTCATCTCTCGGCGTGAAAACAGTATTTCCCGTGTCGGCGTTTTCATAGTAACGTGGTTGCTAGGGACGCAGCTCTTGCTGCCGGAAATTAGTATTCTCGTCACTGCCCAACACATTCTCACTCCCAACTCGTCCAATGTCAGGATCCCTTAGCGTCACTATCAACGCAGTGGGGGGCCCTTTAGCGTCGATGTTCAACTATCAGGGAGTCCCATTGACTTGCATAGAGCGACATTGTCAAAGCATTTAATATATTCATTGCTATCGGGATGTTAAGAGCATTCCATGCATGGAATATAACAAAAAGTGTTTCTGAAATAAATTACATACCTGCCTTTTAAGGACTGTGTTAATTAGGTTAAAATGCAAATGTATTTCCCTAAATTGTTGAACTGCTATGATATGATCCCTTTGTGTTTTATAATGTTCAATAACAGTAATTTATTGTCATATGCTTCAAACACATGGCTCACACCACCAAGCTCTGGAAGTGATGCTTTAATCAGTGATGCACTCCTCTTGAACAAGCCCCTTCTGGCTCACTTCTGCCTGTCTCTGCGGTCTTACAAGACAAATGAACCCATATGTGTACTTTTAACACACATACACACACATGCATGCACCGGAATACATTGAATGAGAAGGCCTTCCTGTCACAGCTGGTGATTACTGCTCTCCCTGGCAGGCCTCGCCACAGCATCTTAATCAATACTCGCGTAAATAGCTCCATCATTGAATTTATTCTGGGTTGATTGTCTCAAGCATATCTCTCAACTGTTCCAAATGAACCTTGTCATATTGTTGCAAAATAGCCAGTCGCCACTTGAGCTCAACTCAACTGCATTAAATGGGTAAGCTTTATGCAGATGGGACCTCGACGGCTGTTCCATATCATTTCCTGATAACATGTATTGGTTCAGTGCAGTAAAACACAGTCATTACATTTTTTATGCTCCCCTTCTCAATTTATTCCCTGCTGAGGTGTATCATCTTCATGGCTCTGAGAGAGAGGAGAGAGACTTTGTTTACTGCCGACGTCTCATATCTTTCTTAAACATGGATGGAAATGAGTTTGGTGCTCTCCTAAAGAATTACCGGCCCTTTCATCTCATTGTCGTATTGGATTTGTTACTCTCCTTAGGATGTATGGCACGTGAGCTCCATAACTTGTTGGAGAAAAAACTTTCTTTCTTGCTGCCTCTTTAGCTGCTGGCCTCTGTCATTTCCTTTTCCCTTTATATTTATTTTTAATATCCCCCTTTTACCTATTGTAAAAACTAGCTGGTAGTTTTAGAGAGAGTTCCTGAAGTGCCTCTGCGTTGGCATACCATTCAAAGTATGAGGACCACCAGTAAGAGCAGTTTAAGCATTTATTTCTTCACATGCAGTAGACCCTCTATGTAGATGGTGATGATTTTAAGGTTAAAACACAAAATAGAAATCAGGAAGGGCTTCAACGCTCTAGTACAACAAATCAAACATTGCTTTTGCAGGATAAGGATAAGCCACCAATAAACATAATCACAACTTACTCAAAATATGCATCGATGTTCAGCATGTGAAGAGAGCCCATGGGGATCAGCAAGCTGCTGCAGAAACTGGAGAGAGTCTGAGCACTGCTGATTACAGGCCTTAAGTTGTATCAGGTGTGGTGGAGGCTAAGCCCTGCCTCCACAAGACCAAAAAAAGCAGGGGGATTTACTACACTTATGGTCTAGATAAGTTGCATCTCTATCAGAGCTCTGAATATAACTCCATCCATGTCTGTGTCTCTTAAGTAGCAGGGGAAGTGTCCTACATATCAAAGAAAGTGTTCCTCCAATGTTTCTCCCCACACCAGGCATCTTCAAGAGCACCTGCTACATTGATGTTCGCTGGTTCCCCTTTGATGTCCAGAGATGTGACCTGAAGTTTGGCTCCTGGACATACGGGGGCTGGTCTCTGGACCTGAAGATGGTGGAGGCGGATATCACTGGCTACATTGCCAATGGAGAGTGGGATCTTGTCGGTAAGAAGAGACTGCTGAGTGTGAAGTGCAGAGGATTGCAAATTCAAAAATTCCTCCATAGCTGACTGTGTTTTGTCTCGCAGGGGTTCCAGGACGGAAGAACGAGCGTTTCTACGACTGCTGCGAGGAGCCGTACCCGGACGTCACCTTCACCGTGGTGATGCGCAGACGGACTCTCTACTACGGCCTCAACCTGCTCATCCCCTGCGTCCTCATCTCCACCCTGGCCCTGCTCGTCTTCCTCCTGCCTGCTGACTCTGGGGAGAAGATTTCACTAGGTTCACCCTCACACACAAACACACACACTTTCATTTTTGGCAACATTATGGAAATAGTGCACGTCATTAATTGCAGTACATAACCTTCAGCTGATTTTCTTCATGATGCTTTGACATTTTAAATGTACAGCCCTTTCCTTAATTTGTGGCAATAAACACAGTGACGCTTAGTCTTTAATGCAATCCAATGATACTCTCCTATAGTGCAATACATTATTTTTTATGAACTTATATTACTGTAAACGGAGGGGTTGATGCAATTTAGAGGTACATTTTATTTTTGTGAAAAATTGTTCTCATACATTTTAAGGTAGAATATGACATCCCTATTACTTGTATGAGGGAATTCAGAGGACCCATGGGCTATGGCACAGGCTCTACTAAATGTGTTTGTTTTTGATCTGCAAGTAGTTTTAAAAACGTAGACAAAATATTCAGAGTGTAAGACATTACTGAATATGTGGGCACAATTTTGTTATTCAAGTACATGCACCAGTTAATGAGAACATTCAGAATTGTTTGAAGTATTTTTAGGCTGCATTAGTTTTCTAATCGTCGCATGCCAAAGCAGAAATGTATTTCTCTCTGTGTCTCCTTGGCTGCTGCTAGAGACCAATGATTCAATAATTCGTAATCCATATGAATGAGAAACATCCCTCTCATCACCCCTCAGCAAGCTGCGGTGCAACACTCACTCAACTCTATCGTCAAAAAATGTACACATAACTAACACATACTATTCCATACTATTGGATTCTGCCATTGCATTGCTAATATAATGTGTAGGTATTCAGCATTCTTCATATATTTGTCCAGCTCCGCCCTACACACAGTGGCCCAGATCCTGAAATCAGAGTTGACACGTTGCTTGTGTTGCTTTTTCACATCTGACCCATTACATAGTTTCTTAAATCATTGATGTTAAGTGCCTTAGTGAGCTGACATATTTTCTTGAAATTCATTGACTTTTTACTGTAACGGTTACCTAACAACATTACTGCAAAAACGTGGTGGTTAGTATGGTAACCCTTGTTATATAAACACAGGTGGAGCCCTCTACTGGACTCTATGGGTACTCCCCTCAATCCTATCAGGCAAACATTCATTCACTGAGACTTTATAGACGTAGCCGGCCCCTGGGCGGGCCTACCTGAATGCGTGTGCATCTCACCGCATAAAAGGAGGCCTCACCTCCTCACTGCCATCCTTTACTTCTCTTCAGCAAGCAGCCAGAGGTAGAGGGCTCCGCCTGTGTTTATATAACAAGAGTTACCATACATAACCCTTCGTTATATCTCTCACAGGCTCCGCCCTCTACTGGACTATATGGGTACAGTGGGCGGAGTCCCAATGTATACACGATAGGGCTGCACGATATTGGAAAAAAAAGACATTGCGATATTTTTTCCCCCTGCGATATATATTGCGTTTTTTTTAACTATACTTAACCGGATGAAGGATTTTAGTCACGGACGTCTGGATCTTAACTGGTAGACTCATCATACCTTAAGTCATGATCTAACATGTCATGATAATGCATGTTGGGGTTCATCTGTGAATGAAGAAGAGAAGAACCTTTTTGTATCCAAAATAGTTCCAGATGGCAGATGTTTTGATTGATTGATTGAAAAGTTTATTAACAGCTTGTATATTGGGTACAGTACAGTACAGCTCAAAACATACAATTGTTAAGGGGATGCAGACAGAGAAAGACTTTTCGTCTTGTTTACATCAGGGTCCCCCATGTCGTCTTGTTACATCAGGGTCCCCCATGTTGCTTTTCTTTTTAGAAGTAAATCTTCATTCTCACCGGTATTGTCCTCCTGTGCCTCGCTCATTTTTTACCGGTGTTTTGATGGTCTGCAAACTAGCGGGGCGGGGCCTGCTGTGATCTGATCAAGAATGATTGTGATTGTTGGTTTGCTGTGCATGCAGAGCCTGCATGTCACTCACTCAAGTACCCCTGATATGAGAGCCACACAAGTTTTCCTTTTTTAGCAAGCAGCAAAATAATTGTAACATGACGTGTTTGAGTTAATGTACCTACTTAATATCGCACGACCTAAGAAAAAAAAATGAAAAAAAAAAACATTCGTCCCTGCGAAAATCGCACGTCCCTGCGATGCGAATATCGCGCATGCGCATATCGCGGTTATCGCCATGACACGATTTATCGTTCAGCCCTAATACACGCGCTGTCGTCCCACAATAACACTGTTCCATCTCACTGTTTCTGACCGGCTTTCTGGTTAGCAGCCGCTGTGCCTCACTCACCTCTCCCTCGGTCGTAACCATGGAGAGAAAAGAGGCTGCGGCTGACAGAGCACACCCTGACGCTCTTACCCCGCGGAGGTGTGCTATAATGTGGAGGACTCCCCCCTCCTGCCCTAAAGCAGGGGAAAAAGAGTCCTCCAGCCCCTATGGGCCCATGTGCACGTCACGTCATAAGAAAAAAACATAAGCGCATTACGTCCGGGGAGGGGGTCAGATGCCCACTCACCAGTCCTGCGTTGCCCCAGCAAGCACAGACGATGAAAAGGAGCCAGACATGTCCAAGAGATCAAACTTTATGAAGGGGCCTGGCGTTGACCAAGATGCCGCCGTGCATATGTCTGTTGTGGAAATTTAGCACTCACAACAGGAAAGAATGAAACAGAGAGGAATCAAATAAAACACAGATATAGTTGATCAATTATTATTTCGTTGTACAACAATCAATAACTAGAAAATGCATTTCCTGCAGAAAATGCTTGCGAATGCTGTAAACTGTGAACATTTGAAGTCCAAGTCACTGAGTCGTTTGCAGTCAGTGTCGTCGCATGCGCAATGTCTGACAATGGTTGAGATAACTTTGCGTAATTACAAATCCATTGTCGACAATAGCCTGTGCATCCCAAAAAAGATAGCACTTTTTTGTCAGTGGTTTAAGTATTGACAATACCACTTTAATTCTGTCTTTGCCAATTGTTCGTCTGTTTTGAGATATCTCATGTCCTATATAGTGCACTTGTTTTTTCACCAGTTGGAGTTGTCGTAGGGACGCTTTGTGCCCCTGTGAAGCCAAATAATGTAACAACGCATTTGTGTCAACAGTACAATTCTCCTCAGATGTTGAGCATAACAACAAATCATCAATGTACTGAATTAAGGTACTGTTCCTAGGAACCATAAAACCAGCCAAATTCTCTTGCAAGGAAGCTGAATATACTGTCGGCGATTCTGAATAGCCCTGTGGACATCGAGTCCACTTGTACTTTTTGTTTTTGAATGTAAATGCAAACCAATTTTGAGATTCAGGATCAACTGGAACACTGAAAAATGCATTAGCCAAATCTATCACAGTGAACCAATCTGCATTGCCAGGTACTGAGGATAAGATTGTTGCTGGGTTAGGTACAACAGGTGCTCAAGCAAATACAGCTTCATTTACAGCACGCAAATCATGAACAGGTCACCAAGTTTCACCATCAGCCTTTTTTACTGGGAAAAGTGGAGTATTACATGGAGATGTTGGCGCTGGAACAATTTGTCCATCTTTAGGAGTTGCTCAATAATGGGAGCCATGCCTTCCTCTGCATCAGGTCTCAGAGGGTACTGCCGTTTATTAGGTCAGTAATCAGATTTAGGAACCACAACCATTGGTGTTGCATCCTTAATTAGACCCACATCATACTTATGAGTAGACCATAACTGTTCTGGGACCCTGTTCAACGCCAGGTGGATTTTAATAGACTCAGGAGTGCTTAGGGAGTGGCATGCCATAAGATCAAAAAGCCTGTCAACAACCTCAGATTTCCTCAACTCTAAACCATTGTCATTGCATACAATAGTCAGGCCTAGCGCACACAGCAGATGTCTTCCTACCAGATTTACTGGACAATCTGGCACAATCACGGAATTTATGACGTATATTTGAAACATCAAGTCTTTGCATTCAACTGGACATAGCTTAGTCACTCCACATTTTATAGGTGTGCCTGTAACTCCAATACAGGTCTTTATGTCCTTAGTCATCTCAAAATCCTCTGTTATTGATCTCAATGAAGATTCAGTTGCTCCTGTATCAGCCAACATCTCGTAAGTTTTGCCGTGAATTGTTATTTTGAACATTGGAAGTTATTCAGATTTGTAGCGAAGAGAAAGGTAGAACTGATTAGTTATTTCAGAAACATTTGGTTGGGGACTTTCACTATCTTCCTGTAGAATGGCAGTAGAATCTGAGGCTTGCTCGGGAAGTCATGATCTTTGAAATGGGCGATTCTTGTTGGCAAATGGTCTATTTACTGACACATCTCCAATTGGTGGGTATGATTTTCCTTGATCATTATCCCATTCCTGTGGTAGTATTTCAGTGCAATCCTGGGCCCAATGGCCTTTTTGATGACACCTGTGACAGGTATCTCTGTCTCCAAAGAAAGGTTTCCTTTCTTGTCCCCTCCCTCTATTTTCACCTCTTCCTCTGCCTCCACCTCTTCTTCTGTTTGCTGCTGTTGAATAATAAGCAAGTTGAACCATCTGAAGTTTCTCAATGTTGACTTGGTCTTCTTTTCATTGTGATTCTTCAGTCAACCTAGCACTCTGCCATGCAACGCAATACCTGACAAAAAGAGCTCTTATCTCTGGTAACAATCCATCCACCAAAGTCTGGACCAATAGGCTCTGTGCACAAGATGGCGTCTATCAACTTCCGGCGGCTGGGTGTGCGGCTGAGTACTTCCGGTTTGAGTACAGAGTTTTGACAGCTTGGCAGTTTGTTATGTCACACCGAGAGCAAGAATGAGCGGATTTCGGGGTAAAGAAAAGCGATTGGCCTTCCAGCGTGTAAGAAAGTCGGCACTACATTGCTGTGTGCCCCTTTGTACAAATTCGTCCCGTTATCAGAATCAGAATACCTTTATTAGTCCCACAGAGGGGACATTTGCAGTGTTGAAGCAGGAAAGAGCCACAGACAGCTTAGTGTTGAATATCTTACATGCGTTAAAAAGTACTAAGTTATAACA